ACATAGAAAGATCCTTGATTGAAGAAGAAGCCAATGAAGAATATAACCATTTATTACCAAAAGAGGGTAAGAATTACTTGGATTACCCTGAAAGACCTTTGACTAGAGAAGAAGTCAAGTTTAAAGATGATAAGAGAAAACAGTTGACAGAAAAAAAGATTGTTAAAGACACATGATTTTTAGCCCACAAAACCATTGGAGATACAAGGATTACAAGACACAAGGATTAATGGAGGAAGTCCAAACTAAACTCTTGGAAGACATTAAGGCTCATTATGAGAGTCACTTTTCCAGTGTTTGTTTATTACAAAATTATGTATTATGATAAAAAAAAAAGTTTTCACTTTCATTTGTTGTGCCTTAGATCATTTAAATTGACCTTATGGTTAAGATTGTGATATATGTACTCTGATAATCATCTATGATGTCTCTATGATGTTTACCTCAAAAGATTGAATCAGAGTATTTGTGTTCAAAGAGCTGAAAAAACTATACAGACAGATCTAAGATTTTGGAAGCATACATATTAATGAATTTAAAGGAGATATAACACTTGAATTCATCAATAGATTATTAAAAAGAAAGAACACAAACTCATATAAATGATATTGAAAGTACCATAAATGAATAAAGTATCATGCTCCAAGGTATGCTTTAACAGAAGGGTTACAGCAGTCCCCATGCACTCAAAAGAAGATCTTGGGTAGTAGAAACACCAGGAAATTTTAATGCCATGCAATCAAATCATCTTACATCAGTTATAAGGTTACAGCCGGTAGACCTAGTCATGAGGGTCATTAAGATGTTTCACTGTTGATCCCCAGGATCCTCATTATAGTATTCTTTCCCTGTAAATATAATTTTAATATTAAATGAAAAAGTCAGAATTCATAAGCATTTGGAGAGAAAACTTGAAATCTTTACCAACTATGCTTTTAAGGAAGCTGGGGGTTAATACATTAACCATCTGATATAACTTATTTCTTAGATATCTGTTTAGATATCTTCAGCTGTTGACTATCATTTGGCAAAGAAAAATTTCATACATTTTAGTTTTAAAATTTGATCATGCATTTTTGTATATGTCTTGATATGGAGCTCTTCTTCTTCTTCTAAAGGAGATCAATATAGTCTAAACATGACCATGACCACCAAGCCCTCTTTATTTTAAAAAAAAAATCATATATCATTTACATATCAATTCAAAAATATACGAGGGTTGTCCCAAAATTTCGTAGACTGAGCTCATATCTTTTAAAGAAATTAACGTATCTTAATAACATTTTCAGGGTGGATAAAGCGTGTTCTTGGCAGAAATATTACGAAGAATTATCATGTTAACTTGAAAACTTGTCGAGTAATGACATGTAAAGTGATATAGTTCTCCAACACCCGGAGCAATCTGCAACGTCAAAAAATACAAATTTCAACAGTTCAAATTTTTGGAGAAAATATTTCAATTACAAGAATCTAATTCTTAAATTAAACGAAACGGTTATGGTTATAAATGTAAAATATCTTAATTACTTTGATATGATCAAACATTAAAATATGTAAACAAAGTTTATGCATGTAAAGGTATGAAATAATAATAACGCTATATTTCTACGGGTTTTTCGTCAGTTTTCCCTAATGGATTTGCACAGTGGAACTCTTGCCCAATTCTTAGCCCCTGTATTTCATTTTAGTTACTGTTATTCACATATACATAGAAAAACCGTTTCAGTCATTTTAAATACTAAGGACAAGAAAAAGTTTCCTAGTCTACCAAACATTTATGAGTGGTACATTTCTGTAAGATTGAATTCAGGATCAAAACACTTGATCATAGTCCAGTGCGCCGCCGGGGCCAACGCAGCCGCCATTTTTCAAAAATTTGGATTTCAACGCCATGTTTATAAAACGTTATAAAATTCATATTTATCAAAGCATAAACACTAAAAATTGAGGAAATGTAGTTAATTAAAAATTATTAAGAATTTTTATTTCCATTTAAAGAAATATGAGGTAGTAATTTACTTTTCTTTAGGATTTTAAATATGATATACCAAATTTTAACAGCAACTTTTGGGTATTGCGCCGCCTTCATACACCAGACAAGGAAATGTGTCTTTTAAATTGGAATAATTTGTGTAGTTACTCCATATTTGTCCATAAATTTATTAGATAGTGTTTGTTTAATCTATATACGAAGTTTCATTAATGTATGACATAAGGTTCCTACAAAACAACGCTTGTCTACGGAATTTTGGGACAACCCTCGTAAACATGCATATGTAAAATAAATAAATAAATAAAAATTACAATTGTATCTCATTGAAACTTTACCTTCAAGTTTGTGTGTTTCTATGTTGGTTGATTAACTATGTATTTCCAAAGGAAGAGCAGACAGGCTGAACTTCATAGAGAATGGATTATAGATGGTTAGGAACAAAACATATTTTCCATGTTGAGGACTGTAAAAATAAAACCATTTTGTTAATATGACAGAGTTCTGCATTAAACACTGCATGTTTAAATACAACATTTACAATGCCAAAAAAAAAATAATAAAAGATCAAGAAAATATTTGTTTTTAATCTCAAAAAATTGTTTTTAACATTAACTCCAGATGAGAAAAGTTCATCATGTTATCTTAAGATAATAAAAAAAAGAGCACAATTACTGTATTGATATCATAAATAAAATGATTATCAAATTAATCATTTAGACACTAAAAGACTTTTTATTAACAGCAGATTCAATTTAGTTTAATAACTGTAAGTACTGCATACAGACAAATACATCTTTTTTAGCATATACAACATGTAGTCCTACATTTTTTTGAAAAGCTCATTACTAAGAAACAAAAGTGATAATGAAATGATTATGTATGCCATGCATATATCCCACATATTTAGAATCAAAACAAAAAGTAATTGACTATTAGGATTAATCTTTTGTAAATTCCTCCATTTCTCTTATTAGATTCCTAATATCTCTTTGATCACCATTTAGTAAGTCTGAATTCCATGGCTAACATACATAATGAATTATGAAATCATATAATTTAATATACAAAAGGACTTATTAATGTTATGAAGTTTCCTTAATCATGTGTTTATATATTTTAGGTTAAATAAGGGTGTACTCATATAAATGTAAGTTAGAGATATCAGATCACATAAGTATTACACAGTCATTAAATTAAACCATATAATCATGCTTAACGAGGCCCGATCTAGTTGAAAATTACGAAAACGGAATGATAAAAAAAGTTAATTTTTGGAAATATTTTTGTATGTATTCTGCTAAGAAAAATTAGAATGAAATTTTATTACCTTGCCTTTATTGTAGTAAAATGGGGGCATTGTCAAGATATGGACCATTTTTTGTAATTTTATACACAATTACATAGTAAAACTATCCAATAAACAAAGAAATTGAAAATAACAAAAAATATACACGGTGAAATGTGTTGTTTTTCACATATATCATGCAATTTTTATTCTTCTTATAAACAAGAGGCCCATGGGCCACAACGCTCACCTGAACCACCTCGGCCCAATTGTTCTTCAGAGGAAGAAAAAAGGCACTTTTCCCCATGAAATATGTTTACCAAGGGTAACTTATAGATTAGATTTGTGAGCTCTTAAGTAATTTAAATCCTATAAGAGGAGGGGATTGTTTCAATTCCAAATGAACCATCTGTTTACTTAATTGCATTTAAGTGCAGAGGCTTTTAACAATTTAAATATGTTCTCATTTCTCAAGACTGTCACAGGTTTCATAAAATGATTGTATATAATTATATTCATTTTTTATGCTTACCTCCAAAAAAAAAAGCAGTTTTATGGCTGTATTAAAAATTTTATTTGATTTCAAGAATTATAACAAATCTTTTGTATTATTAGAAGTAAAATGTTACACATACATGTATATTAGTACAGATTAAAAACTGAATTTTGAGTAGTGTATATAATTTGAAATTTGACATTTAAACTTTGTGAAGAAGCTATCTTAATGAAGGAATGCCTTACTAGTGACAATCCAAGAGCATATATATACTAGTATTGATTTAGATATCATTTATAAACTTAAGAATGAATGTTTAATGAAAAATAAAACAGCATCAAAAATTTTAACAATACAGTCATAATATAAATATTTCTTAAATATGTTGTTTACATGAAGAAAATAATCACCCTCGAAATAAATAATCTTTTCCAACGAAAATCGAAAAAAGAAAAGATTATGCGAGTGAATTAGAAAGGAATAAACATTTTAATATCACAAATCAAAATTTCTAACCTCAGATTCATGCAATATTGTTGGATAATGAAAAGAGAACATTTTTCTCTATTGGAAAGAATATTTGTTATTCAAATGATATTTGGTATATCATGTTATTTAATATTTTGATAGTATAGTGTATTTTTCTTCAATATATTTCTTAAAGAGGTAGGTTTACCTCCCTTTACGGGCTGGCCATTGACCCCCTCTTTCCATACTTACCTGTAAATGACACCTATTATAGGCTTTGAAGTTCATATAATGGCAGTCAGGTTTTACTTCATAATCATAAAATTCCACACAATCCATGATAGAATATACAGAACTTTTTAATAAACCCATTAGAATATAAATGGAATCTGAGGTTTCACAAATGATTATTATATCTGCTGTGTTGATGACTTCTACAAGCATTGTAATTCATTTACACGGGTTATTTTACAGAAGCATTTTTTGCCAAAAGAAACAAATAACTATACAAAAAATATGAAATTAAAGTATAATATCAGTCAAAGATAGTTTATATATATATTTCAGTTTTATGATATAAATATTTTTAAAAAGTTGACTAGCATTATGACATGAATGAACATTCAAACACATCTGAGCTTAAGTTAAAAGTCCATAAATGACGAGATCCTGACTTCTAAAATCACAGAAGCCATATGTCTGAGAAATGTCAAAATCACATGGCTATTATATAGTGTCACAGCTAAATTATAGCAGTGTCCGAATCACAGTTAGCTTATAGCGGTGTCAAAATTACAGCCAATGGCACAGTCCAAATGATGTCACAACCACGAGTCAAAACTGTGCAAATTCAAATTCCAGTAAAAGTCTCCTTCAATGTTACTATTATAATCATGATGATCCTTGATTGTAATTTCAGTATAAAATCTATACCAGTTCACAATTCATTATATATAGTCTTCTTTAAAAGATTGAATTTATTAATTAAAGTATACAAGTATGATATTATAACATCAAATGGAATGGACATTTTGCAACAAGAAGTGGATATCAAATTGTTTTATCAACAAATCATATTTCCTATTCTATATGAAAACAAGGCAAATAAACTGCTGACTGAAATTAAAGTAAAACTACAGCAATATGTCAAATTTTATCACACACAGAGAAACAGTAACTTTTAAGTTCTAATTTGGGTTACATCTTTTGAAGTCACTAAAAGACAACAAAATATCAGAATGATATACCTCCTAATTAAAAAAAAAAAATCCAGATATTCAGCAATTCAAATATTAACATTGGAAATATGCAGAAATGAGCTAAGAATTGAAATAGTAAGTCTAATTTAAACAAAGTTTTTACAGACAGATGATCTCTTCATTTAAAAAACAAAAAACAAAAACAGAGGTCTCTGACAATACTGAAGCTCTAAATATAACTAGTGCTAATTGTAACGGGGACCGTTACAGATGTTCCCCAAACGCTCCCCAACTCCCTTTTGGTGCCAAATTCACTGTAAGCTTCATTAAATAAGACAAACTCTATGCATTTGAGACTTGAACAACGTTTACCAAGAAGTGTACCATGTGCATTCAAATTTTAGCATTGCATGCACGCGCATGTGAATGCATGTGCGTAATGACCATATTATCTTGTCTAAACAATCTATATATTTTAATATACTTAACATTAAAGTATTTAATCCAAAAGTATTAAAAAATGCGCTCATTCAAGTGTAATTTTTATTTTACTCATTTCACGGGCATACATGAGCATGGTGACCATACCTACTTGTAGAAGTCCATTACATCTATTTATGTTCCAAATCCCATCCTGTTTGGTTGAAATCCAAGGGAATTATAGCTATTTAAAGTTTAAGCTAATCAGATTGCAGCGCACGTGCATGCACGTGTTTTCATAATAATTCTTATATATCATGTAGAGCCTTCTAATATATGACTATATATTTAAAATTTCAAAGTATTTTGTCAAAAAACAAGAAAGATATTGAGACTTTAGTTTCAGCCAATCAGAGCGAAGCGCACGTGCATGCGCGTGAGTTCATGATAATTTGACCATGTCCTCTTATCTATAATACTATTATATACTTATATTCTGAGTTTCAACACATTTCATCAAAAAACAGAAAAGTTACGGCTATATGAATTATATTGATCATTTCACGTGTTGCACATGCACGCTCTTGCAAGCACGTGCGTGCAAAATGACCTTGATTCCGCAAATCTACATAACATGTCTACTTAACCTAAAAAGGTTTTACCTACATCAGATGAACAGTTTACAAGATCATTCGCGGACAAATAAGTACCCAGGAAGAAGAAAAATAATAATAAGAAACAGAGTAAAAACAATATGTTCCCCAACTTCGTTTGGGGAACATAATAAAGGTATAGACTATTAATGTAAAAAGTCATTTCATACCAACTTAAGGTAAAGGGGGAGTGAACATTTTGGAAAATAAAAAAATTCTGCCTTTGGTGGCCATGACATATGCATTTTGTCAATCTGAGAATTATGCATCTTAGCATAGTCTACTAATGTTACCAAGTGTTATTGAGATGGAGTAGTGTTTTGCATAAAAATATACAATAAGTACTGATCCATATTAAAGAACAGCCAGATTAATATATGTGAAATGTTCTATCTAAAATGCATATTTAAAACATTTTGTAAAAAATAAAAACTTTAAATTTTCAAATGTATGGTTCTGTATTGCAGCCAAATAGGACTAATACACAAATGGGGAAAATATATACAGTGTAATTTAAAAAGTAGATTTAAAATAGCTTTAAGAACAGGAGAATGTCATGTTGTGTAAGTCATGTAAAAATATATTAGACATTGGTTGAAGATGATAATACACTTAACAATCTTAGTGTTGATTAAAAACATTATCATGACTGTGACAAATAAAGCATCAAAATGCGATGGTCATGACAATGCTTAAAATGAAATTGGTACAATATCAAGACACAAGCACATTTTTTATCACAAGGTATACATTAGTTTGTATTAAATACATTTATAAGCGTATGAAATTTCTAAATATAAAAATGTCCAAACAATGTCTCATAGAAATAAATGCGGGACAAAAATGGCTATGGATAAATTCACAGGCAGACATGATGATACCTAGTGAGTGTACACCCAAACAAGCAGATGGACATGGTGATTCCAGTGTATACCCCAAACTTTGTGGGGTATGTCTGGAAAAAATGGGGTGAGGGAGGGGGCACTGTTTCACTTCTCCCTCTGCCGTGTTTTTATTTAGGAGCCCCATCACATTTAATGGAAACTAGTCACTTCAAATGCACAAAACACTACTTTATGATCAGACCAATATGCTTCAATCACATCTGTTTCACATGGGGATATATTTGTAAAAATCAAATCAAGCTTCGAACCGGAGTCATGAGTAGTCTTACTTACAATTTGTTGACAGTTAAAGCTTTTTTCCATAAATGTTAAAAAGTCTGCATGCCCAGCAAACAAATCAAAATTAAAATCTCCCAAGAATACCAAGTCTTTCTGA